AGAAAAGCAAAGACAGATCAGAAAGATCAGAAGTTTGACAAAAAAAGACGAACAGCAGAAAATCTTTTATCCTCGCTGCTTAAAGATTTTATTTTGTTTAGTTAAGTCACACTGCACCACCTCCCCACTCAACCCTCTTTGCCTCCACACACACAGAGTCTCCGGGCACGCCCACAGGCAGGAGTGTTGGTGGGACGACGGATGCCGAGGAGGCGTCCAGACTGCTGGCAGAGAGACGACGTCTGGCCCGAATACAGAAAGAGCAGGATGAGAGACAACGGCAGGAGGAGGAGAGGTATGTGTGTGTGTGTATATTAGAGCATTAGTTTTACATTGCATCTCTTTGTCTTATGTGATAATAAAACGAATGTATTTGGATTTTGGAACTTTTGTCAGACAAAACAAGACATCAAGACATTTGATCTGGGAAACTGTGATGACTGAGATTTTTCACTATATTCTGGCATTTTAAAGTAAAAACGATTGTTCGAGATCAATCTTAGTCTTAATGGATAAACTAAGACTGGGTGAAATGGAAGAAAAAAATGTTACTTTGATGTTAGTGTAGTTTTTTTTTAGTTTTTAGACAGACAACAATTTCAGAGAAATTCAGAGATATTTGTGATAGATGATAACTAACGTAGTGTCCTAATCATTCACCATTTATCAGTCAGTTATGTCCAGAATATTGTCTTCTAAAAGGCTAATAGACGTTATAACATCAACCAACAATCCCCCCTACCAACACTTTGGACGTGGAGTCTTCTTCAAGCCCCCCTACAGTCAAAAACATGTTTTTTTTTTCCTTTTCCTACAGTGTGATGTTTGAATGATGTCTGCAGAGTTTGACACTAGAAGATGTTTTCACATTCATCTGCTGAAAGTGGAAGGTTTCTCTGAGCTCACTGAACATCTGATTTTAAGGGGCGGGGCCTGCCAGCATGATTTCTATATCATATATAGTCTGTAGGGGATCTTTAACTTAGGCTACTGTTGTACTGTAGTTGCTGTTGTATGGTGGCCTGTACAGCTCAGACCTCTCGTGTTCCTTCAGGCTGAGGGCCGAGGAGGAGCAGAGGAGGCAGCAGGAGGCGAGAGAGAGGCAGGAGAGAGCTGCACAGCAGGCCGAGGAGGAGAGAGTGAGGCGGGAGGAAGACAGGAGGAACAAGGAGGACGAGGAGAGACGACAGAAGGAGCAGAGATGGAAGGACATGCAGGAGCAGCTGGACAGAGAGGTCCGGTTGAATAAATGTCTCTTTATTCATGTAACGTTGCTCAAGTACTTCTGGTTTTATCATCTGGATGTGATCAGATGTATCAATATCAAGTTAATTTTATTTAATCTTTCACTTTATTATATTTATTTTGGCCACATTGTAAAACAAGTATAAATGTTGACAAATGTTTTCTTAATTTAAACCTTAGATTTAATCACATTAAATAATGTTAATGTTGTTGTGAACGCTGTGAGCAAACCCTGCTTTTACAGAAAGGAAGAAATATAGACAGAGAACGTGAATAATTGGATGTTATTTGGATGTTTTTCAGAGGGAGGAGGCCTTCCTGCGAGCCCAGAAAGAGGCAGAGAGGAAGAGGCAGGAGAGGGAGCTGCTGCACATCCAGGAGGAGCAGGAGAGACTCCAGAGGAAGAAGGTATCAGAGACATACATCTGCTTCATAAACTATAGATTTCACAGCAAATAGCCTTTCTAAAATGGCATTATTGAATCTTGTGAAAAGGACAATCATTGTGTTTTGTTTGCTTTAACAGAGAATTGAGGAGATCATGAAGAGAACACGGAAGAGTGAAGTGGAGCCTCTGTCTGGTGCTGCAGGTGAAACGTTTAATCTCCCTGTTAACTTCATTTTCTGCATCATGGCAGTTTGATTCTGTTTCTTTTGTTCTGTTATTCATTCATTGACTTGTGTTTTGTTGTATTTAATTTTTAGTTTGGATGTGAAATATTGAAAACTTGTTATATCTTGTTCCTCCAGCATTATTATTTTCTGTAAAATTAAATGAGATCAGTCTCAGCTGCAGTGTGACTCAGCAGTGCTCAACAGGCAGGAGAACAGTGCCTCCTCATGGTTAAAAGACAGTAAGACCAGGTCTACTGCAGCATTTGTCAAACAAAGTGGCTTATATTACTCCTGTTTTATCAGCACAGGTGAGCCCAGAGGAAATGAAACACACTAATTCCTTCAATATTAAACACTCAGTCACAGAATCTGCCAAATAAATGATCTAGAAAGAAATATCTCAACAATAAACTGTTGTTTCACCTGCTTTATTGTTCCCACACGATAACAAGCAGCCAGTTAGAGGCGAAACACATTTACACGTACAGACGATGACAAATTCATTTAAAAACACTGAATAAATAAGCAGATGCTTCCACACAGGTGCAATGTACAGTTAAGCATGCTCTGTGTATAAAAGTGCAGAGCAAGCCCAGGTAATTCTGTTTTAGTATCAAGATGGAGAGAGGAAAAGATCTAAGTTTAAAAGAGGGTCCATTTTCATAAAGAGACATCTGCATTTAGGGTTGGACATCGTGGTCGACAGCATGATGCTCGTGTGCGATATGTAAGGGAAAATAAAGACTGGATATAACTGGGGTTGTTTTACAGCAGCTTTCTCCTGCTCCTGAATCAGACCTGCAGCACCTCTGTTATAATATTCACCGGATTTCCCAGTAAAATAACTTTTAAACATTACTGTGTGTTTGCAGTGTCTGACATGATGCCAGAGGCTGCGGTCCCCTCGGAGGAGGACGCCCCAACTCCGGCTGAAGCCTCCGTCATCACACTCGGACCCCTGGAGAATAAGAGCTGCATGGACGAGCTGTCTGACGGAGTCCAGTCCATGGATGTCAGGTGAGACATCTCTCAGGTGTCTAGCATCAATTTTAGCATTGCATGTTTTTGTTTCCGAGAGAATAACACGAGAATCACAGTTTACTGCTCGAGTGTGTCTCACAAGTTCTGTCTGCATCGAGGTGACTCCCCACATACCAATCAGCCTTGTTGGCTTCTCTTTTTCCAGTCTTGCATCTCATTGTCATCCCATACTACTCATCCAAACAGCCAACATGTCGTAGAGGGTGTCTCTGATGGAGGAAGAATGATTTATTTATTGTCAGGGAACACAAAATACACAAGCATGGAGACGACTTTCATCCACATCTCATTTTATTTATTTATTACGAAACCTAAAAATATGTGTAAAATGGCCCAGTATTGATTTAAAGGTCCAGTGTGTAACATTAAAGAGGATCTATTAGCAGAAATCACCGTAGAATGACACCAAACACTGGCTTTAGATAGTTTAGATAGTTAGATATTCCTTTCACAAGTCCTCCTTGGAACAAGAGGGTGAGGCGAGTGCGTTGTAATCTGCAGCTACACCGCTAGATGCCACTAAATGCTACACACTGGACCTTAAATACTGAAGGTGCATTTGGAGAAAAAAAAGTGCAAATTAATTTAAATATTCTGTCTCTGTCATCATTGTGTCTTTAAGTTCTCCATCTGTCTCCATCAGTCCAGTGTCCAGGGAGGAGCAGGCGAGTGCTCATGAGTTTTCACCGGTCACAGAGGGGTCAGACGGCTGCCCCCTGGAGCACCTGATGGACCTTGACGCCCACGGACGAGGACAGCGTCAGGGTGCGGAAACGTCCCCTTACCCCAAATTGCAGGCCAGCAGCGGGGTCGGAGACCTCAACAAGAACCTGCTGATTCAAGCGTACAGTGCCGCCTCTGAAACCTCCCAGCTCATCCACAGCATCGGCCCGAGCAAACTGGACGTCCAGTAGCCAGGTAGAGACACTCCACCTCTCTTACCCTTCAGAATCAGTGTTTTTAAAGCTGGACACATCGAACTCTCAAAAAAGTGTACTTCTCAAAAAAAATCCCTTTAACATGTGATCAGATTTCACTTCAGAATATTTTTTATTATTTTGTTTCTAGCATTAAAACATTTTACCGTTATATATTTGGGTTATTTTGCTTTCCATCAAAACTGTATGAACTCAAAGTACCGCTAATACCAAAGTTTATCATAAAGCACTCTTCAAGCAACATTTTTGAAATGGTTCAATAATAAATAAAAGTTGTATCGAACTTTAAAGCTTTTTTCAGACTGGAGAAATCAGACTTTTTTTAGCTTGTTAAGCACTCGCACATCCACAGTTTCCCCAGTCACTCTGCTCTTGCTCTGTAGGACTCATTTTGTGGTCGAGTCAGTGATAAAAGCTAGAGAGTGTGAGTGACAGACATGCTACTGTTTGCATGTAGGAATGAACACAACATAATATTGTTTGCTTCATGTTCACAGAGCCTGATCCCAGAATGCATTTCCCCACTACAGCTTCAACAGTCTCCCATTTTGTCTTTCTTAGGACCTTCTTCAGGAGCTGGCAGGTTCGGTAGAAACAGGAGCCAGGAGAAACAGACCAAGAGACCATCACCTCTGTCTGCAACAACAACAACAACAACAACAACAATCATCAATTCCACAAGGAGCAAATGCTGAACAACTAATTCACATCTGTATTACCAAACCTCGCAAACTCCTAACAGTAAAGCTTCTGGACACACTTTGAGGCAGTGCAAGTGGGCAATTCTGACTCTCACACAACAAAATCCTGCAAATAATGTATAAAAGTATATTTATGACATGATAGAGAGGGAAGTAGGATCAGCGTTCTTGCATGTTTGTCTTATGGCAGTTAAGTTTAGGAAAGTTAATCGACTGTAAAACCTAAGGTCATATTTAGGTTTATTCATCTAAATCTGAGACTTGCTGAAAACTAGACACGAGTTGATGATTAAACTAGTCGATTCAGCCCAAAATCTGCACACATCAACCGACCTTTTTATTCACATATTACGTATATTTCACATCGGGCTGCATCTTTTCACCCTTCATGCTCCGAACAACTCTCTGAGATCAGTACATCTCCTCTGCCTCCGTTCCTGTTGACGACAGCATTGCCCAGCTGCACTGCCGCAAACTATCACTCGAGTATCATCCGCTTTTAATCTCTCATCCCCTGCTTTTGTAAAACTCTGTAAATAGATCTGACCGGGTGGAGGAGTCTGTCGTGGTAGGAGCAGGGAGCGGCTCTGTAGCAGTTTATCTGGAGGGGAAGCCGTGAAACAGACACTGTCGTGTGAATACTGTGTAGCATCTTCAGTGAGGACTAGCTAGTTGAGCTGTTTATGGTTGTAGCTGTGTGTGAGAGTTTCTCTCTTTCTGTCAGTGTTTTCTGATGGTTCCTGTGTGTTTATCTCACCTCTGACCTGCTCCACTGCTGACAGCGACTCCCACTTCTATAAAAACCCCAGTCTGCTGTAGATTCCCCGTCATCCTGACGCTGGAGAAAGTCATCAACGACTGATATTATAACCTCGCTGTTGACCCGTAACACTTAGCCTATAGCTTTGGTTTTGCTGCTGCTCGTCGGTGGACGTTTTGTGGAGGTGCAACAATCCACAGCGAGGATAAAAATAAAACCTGGGAGGGAAAAAAGGGTTGGGGGGGAGGGAAAAGAGTCAAATGTCCTGTATTTTTACCTGCAGGTCCGGAAAACTTTGACACAGTGTGTTGTGTATTTGTCTGGCACTGACTGTAACCACGCTAGCTGCAGTTTATAATGTGCACTTACAATAGTTGTGTGTTCCACTGCTCTGAAGACGCTTGTATCTCCACCTCAGCTCACATCCCCCCCCCCCTAACTAAAATATACCTCA